TGGGCAGTCCAAGAGGTTTTGGGGACCTGGGTGGCAATGGGGACAACCTCGGGGCCGTGCCAGCCGTCCCTTGTCACCTCGAGGTCCCCCAGTCACGGGGTGACGCCGTTTCCCCTCCCGTGAGCACCTTTGGGGCCAAACGGCCGCGTTTTGGGGCCGTGGGGCTGGGGCTGACAGCGGTGGCCTTCGTCCCCCAGCTCATCCTCTTCGGGCTCAGCAACCAGATGGTGGTGACCTTCAAGGAGGAGAACACGGTGGCCTTCAAGCACCTCTTCCTCAAGGACTACGTGGACGGCGCCGACGACTCCTACGCCGTCTACACCCAGCGCGGCCTCTACGAGCGCGTCTTCTACGCCCTGGACAAGGTGGGACAGGGGGGTCTGGGGACATGGAGGGGGTTTGGGGCCATGGAGGTGACTCAGGACCCCCTTGTCCCACAGTACCTGGCCCTGCCCGGCGAGGCCCTGGGCCGCTACGCGTACCTGTGGGGACATGGAGGTGGTTTGGGGTCAGAGGGGTGGTTTGGGGTCAGAGGGGTGGTTTGGGGCCATGGAGGTGTCTCAGGACCCCCTTGTCCCACACTACCTGGCCCTGCCCGGTGAGGCCCTGGGCTGCGATGTGTACGTGTGGGGACATGGAGGTGGTGTGGGGCCATGGGGTTGGTTTGGGGTCAGAGGGGTGGTTTGGGGCCATGGGGGTGGTTTGGGGTCAGAGGAGTGGTTTGGGGCCATGGGGTCGGTTTGGGGTCAGAGGAGTGGTTTGGGACCATGGAGGTGTCTCAGGACCCCCTTGTCCCACAGTACCTGGCCCTGCCCGGTGAGGCCCTGGGCCGCTACGCGTACGTGTGGGGTCATGGAGATGGTTTGGGGTCAGAGGGGTGGTTTGGGGCCATGGGGCTGGTGTGGGGTCACAGGGGTGGTTTGGGACCATAGGGGTGTCTCAGGACCCCCTTGCCCCACAGTACCTGGCCCTGCCCGGCGAGGCCCTGGGCTGCGATGTGTACGTGTGGGGACATGGAGGTGGTTTGGGGTCAGAGGGGTGGTTTGGGGTCACAGGGGTGTTTTATGGTCAGAGGAGTGGTTTGGGACCATGGAGGTGTCTCAGGACCCCCTTGTCCCACAGTACCTGGCCCTGCCCGGCAAGGCCCTGGGCCACTACGCGTACGTGTGGGGCCATGGGGATGGTGTGGGGCCATGGGGATGGTGTGGGGCCATGGGGATAGTTTGGGGTCACAGGGGTGGTGTGGGGTCACAGGGGTGGTTTGGGGCCATGGAGGTGTCTCAGGACCCCCTTGCCCCACAGTACCTGGCCCTGCCCGGTGAGGCCCTGGGCCGCTACGCATACCTGTGGGGACATGGAGGTGGTTTGGGGTCAGAGGGGTGGTTTGGGGCCGTGGGGGTGGTTTGGGGTCACAGGGGTGGTTTGGGACCATGAATGTGTCTCAGGACCCCCTTGCCCCACAGTACCTGGCCCTGCCTGGCGAGGCCCTGGGCCGCTACGCGTACGTGTGGGGACATGGAGGTGGTGTGGGGCCATGGGGATGGTGTGGGGCCATGGGGATAGTTTGGGGTCACAGGGGTGGTGTGGGGTCACAGGGGTGGTTTGGGACCATGGAGGTGTCTCAGGACCCCCTTGCCCCACAGTACCTGGCCCTGCCCGGCGAGGCCCTGGGCCGCTACGCGTACGTCTGGGGACATGGAGGTGGTTTGGGGTCAGAGGGGTGGTTTGGGGTCACAGGGGTGGTTTGGGACCATGGAGGTGTCTCAGGACCCCCTTGTCCCACAGTACCTGGCCCTGCCCGGCAAGGCCCTGGGCCGCTACGCGTACCTGTGGGGACATGGAGGTGGTTTGGGGTCAGAGGGGTGGTTTGGGGCCGTGGGGGTGGTTTGGGGTCACAGGGGTGGTTTGGGACCATGGAGGTGTCTCAGGACCCCCTTGTCCCACAGTACCTGGCCCTGCCCGGCGAGGCCCTGGGCCGCTACGCGTACGTGTGGGGACATGGAGGTGGTGTGGGGTCAGAGGAGAGGTTTGGGGTCACAGGGGTGTTTTATGGTCAGAGGGGTGGTTTGGGGTCACAGGGGTGGTTTGGGACCATAGGGGTGTCTCAGGACCCCCTTGCCCCACAGTACCTGGCCCTGCCCGGCGAGGCCCTGGGCCGCTACGCGTACGTGTGGGGACATGGAGGTGGTGTGGGGTCAGAGGAGAGGTTTGGGGTCACAGGGGGGTTT